TTTTTTTCCTATTTCTCTTGATTCCTTTTAACTTGTATATTCTCTCCTGGAAACCCTAATTAACTTTTTTTCCTTTCTTAGTTGCTTGGTTCCACACAGAGCTGATTGCTTTGTATGTGTGTATACCCTTTAATTCTAATTCTTGGTTATCATTTTGTATAGGGTTCCCAGTGCAGAGTGGCGTTGCGACCTCTTAATAAAATAACAGGTTTGATGCCTTAGTGATTGCTAATAGAATACTAATTTCAGTTTTTAGATACTCAATTTTAGTAACTCTATAGAATTCATACATTTGTACAATGTCAACGGAGGAGAGTGTTATATAGTAATAGAAACCCAAAAAAGGACTTAAAAGTTTTCAGAAGTTTATAGCCCATGAGGAATTCCAAAGACCATTGGAAACTGTTGGTCCCCACTAGTTGCTATACATCTGCCAGTCCACTAGCATTTGGGATAAATGAGCGACCCTGTATTCACCATCTTGAATAGAAAATCCCCTGGTTCTTTTAGATCCTAAGCATCACCATAAACAAGTTTGTTCTATATACGTGGTTTATGGGTGTTGTATATATATTCCTCTTTGTCAGGTTTTTAAATTAAAGTTATTGTAGTCTTATGAGTTGGGAAGCCTTGTATTCGTTGTTCCTAGAAGGTTTAATAAAATTGTTGACTTGGTGCTTCTCTGTTACCTGGATTATTTTTTTTTTTTTACTTAAAAAAATTCTAGACTGGGAATGGTGGCTTGCGCCTGTAATCCCAGTACTTTGGGTGACTGAGGTGGGCAGATCACCTGAGGTTAGGAGTTTGAGACCAATTTGGCCAACCTGGTGAAACTCCCATCTCTACTAAAAATACAAAAATTAGCCAGGCATGGTGCACCCTTGTAATCCCCACCTACTCAGGAGGCTGAGGCAGGAGAATCACTTGAACCCAGGAGGCGGAGGCTGCAGTGAGCCAAGATTGCACCACTGACTCCAACCTGGGCGACAGAGCCGAGATTCCATACCCGAGAAAAAAAAAATTTATTAGGGTTATTGGTCTAGTCTGCTTTGCTGTCGCTTCCTGAGAGTTGATTTTTATGACATTTTCTTATGAAACTATATATTTCACTTGTTGACGTACACTTTATAGAAATTATTCTATAATCTAGTTAAATCTTTCTCATTCCTAGTGTATATTACTGTTCTTTTTTCTAATTTATATTATTGCTTTATTTTCCATAGGTTTATAAGCTTTTCCAGTGTCTTCATGGAGCTAGATGTTAGCTTTGTTTGTGCTTTTTGCTTTCGATTTCACTGAATTCTTTTTTCTGTTAATTCTTCATAGCTCGTTGGTTACTTTTTAATAAATGCATTAATGCTGTAATACTTCCTCTCGAGTAGAGTTTTTCCCTTGTTCCAGAAGCTTTAGTAGTTATTGCTGCACATTTTTAAATATTATAATGTCAAAAACTGGTCAGATGAATACTCAAGGACTCTTATATTGCTGATGGTAGTTTAAAATTGTTGAATAACCTTTGTAGAAGGCAGTTTATTTTCATCATTTACGCTTGCATTTGCTTTAACCCAGCAAACTCACATCATAGATTTTTTTTTTCCAGTTAAAAGCAGACAAAAAAGGATTTATGTTTAGGTTTATCAATTTTCACAATTGAGGACTAGTTTATATACATGTGATACACATATATAATGGAATAGTAGGCAGCCATTCAAAATGAATGGGTTGTTGGGTCGGGAGAGAACGTTATATGGTATGACAATTGTGGGTGAAAAGCAGAATATACAAAACAATATAACCTCATTTATGTAAAACTGTGTCCATAAAAATCTTGAAAGGTAGTCACTAGATTCTTTATAGTGATGAATCTCTGATGGAGCAGTATTAGGATCTTTAATTTCATAGTAAGCACAAGAGTTTAAATTGCTTTACATTGAGTATATATTTGTTTTTTAAGTTTTTGGTGTTTTGATTTCAATTCCTGTGAGGAATCTCTCAGTTTTCCATATTTTCTCATCTTTTTTTTAGCTACTGAAGTGGTGACTGTGTTTGTATTTCAAGAACCATCACTGCTCTCCTCACTCCAGGATAATGGATTGACAGATGTCATGCTGCATGCACTGCTTATCAAAGATGTAAGTCTTTACTGCTACTCTTTAAAGAATGTCTTATGGCATGAAAATCCTATCTCTTCTCTTTTTAGTGTTGAATCTAATTGGGACCTGGTTGTCAAAATTCCTTCTATCTCAGCTTGATACCCATGGCTGGATTTTCCTAACATTGACACTCTTCAATGCATTCAAGCTCACTTTGCCTTCTCTCCAGGTTCCTGCTACCCGTGAAGTCCTTGGCTCCCTCCCAAATGTATTCAGCGCGCTCTGCTTGAATGCCCGAGGTCTTCAGTCTTTTGTTCAGTGTCAGCCTTTTGAACGCCTCTTCAAAGTTCTTCTGTCTCCAGATTACCTCCCGGCCATGCGGAGGAGGAGGAGTTCTGATCCCCTTGGTAAGTTGTTAGGATTTACTTTAAAATAGAAAATTGATTTAGTTTGCAAGGAAACTCTTCCTTGATCTCTTTTCATCATTTCACTGGTTAGGTGTGCTAAGTTTAAAGGGAATTACCACCATACATTCTATTATAGGTTGGAAGGAATACGTCATCTTTAGCTTCTCTGCTCATAATATTCCATGCTTCTCAACAGTTCACCATTGTATTGTCATGGTACTGGTAGAAAACAGGTATTAAGAAGCAATGGTAGATTTCTGGGTTCACCATCTAGTCTGCAGCAATAAGAAATATAGAGTTCTGAGGTGTTCATCTGGTAATCTGATATTCTGATGTCCAGCTCTCTAAGATAACAACACATGAATAGATTTTTTTACTCAGTATGCTTGAGACCAGATCATTGAGAGATTATTAGCGAGAAGGTAGGACTCCAGAAAGATTACAGTTGTCAAAAATGTGCTTTGTACTTTCAGCCACCACTGTAGCATTTAGACACTATCATTCTTAAGTGGAGCAGCCAGAGGGTTAATAGTTTGTGTGTCTTTCTTCTCTCTCACTCTAGTTTAGACCTCGACAGCGGAGATTGCCAGAGTAGGGTGCAGCACACATAGTTACTTTAGAATATGTTTACTAAACTGATTCCTTTCCTTTTCCCCATGATTTGGGGGTTGGGGCTAGGTGTAATTCATTCAAGAAGTTGTGGCATTAGAAAATCACAACCAAAAAAAAAATAGAAAAAAGAAAATCACAACAGCCTGGTCTGGCGCAGTGGCACACACCTAGCATGTTGGGAGGCTGAAGTGGGCAGATCACTGGAGCTCAGAAGTTTGAGACCAGCCTGGGGAATGGGGCAAAACCCTGTCTCTACAAAAAGTACAACAATTTCGCCAGGCGTGGTACTGCACACCTGTAGTTCCAGCTACTTGGAAGGCTGAGGTGGGAGGAATGCCTGTTCCCAGGAGGTCGAGGATATAGTGAGCCGAGATCGTGATGCTGCACTCCAGCCTCAGTGACATAAAGTCTTTAAAGAAAAGAAAAGAAAATCATAATCAGGCTCAGTTTCTTCTTTCTACCTTTTGTTGGTACATAAAAGGAAACAACCTCTATTTTCTTCAGTCTTTCTAACGGTTCTTTTTTTTTTTTTTTTTTTTTTTTTT